ATAAAATAAGTTACGGCTTTACAAAATTACACCAAACAACCTATTTATCATCAAATTAGTTAGAGGCTGGCTGTGTTGTTTGTCAACTTAGCACGTTGACATGATGCTCTGAGATCAATAAGAGCATTGACGGGATGTGTAGAGCTAATTTGAAATTTGAGAATTTATATAAGATCAAAAATTAAATTAAATTTTTAAATATAATAATATGATAATCAATAAACATATTAAAGATAATATTTTTCATATTTTTTCTAATTATCAATTAATCATATCACTTACATAACATTAAATATAAAAAATAAATTTAAAAAATAAACTTATATATCATTTCTCTTTAGAACTCAGACTGGTTGGTTAGGTAGAAAGTAAGATCCGCCTTACTCATTCTTTTTTTCATACCGCGCGGAATAGTACCACATCTATGAGGCTTAATAGAAAAAGAAAATGAAGGATACTTATAATAGAATTTCGAAAATATTAAATAATTTTTCATATTTAAAATAACAAATTGTAACACAAAATGATATTCAATCCTACAAAACAGCTGTTGCTGCAGTGCTAGGGACCTAATTTGACAAAGGTCCCCCAAATTTTAAAGAACCAGTCTCTGACAATCCAGATTTGATCAAACGTGTCCATACCCTTCTGGTCCCCACTCAACATGTGAGGAAAAAAAAATATCTTGCATGCTATGTTGATGTTAGGATGAATTTTTTGGGTGGATATGTTAGGATGAATTAAGTAGTCAATTATATTTAAGTTTGATTTGAAAAGTTAATTTCAAATTGTGTTTTAGTTTTATTTGTTCATTTGTCGAGCTAATGATTTGAAATGAGATTCGACTTGAGTTTTAATAGGTTGGGTTTTTTTGACAAAAAAATGTGATTGTTGTGTCTATTGTGAGGTCATCTGAGCTCATTTTGGAATATTTTTTGATAATTCGAATCATTTACTTTTTAAAGTATATCGAGTAGAGTATATCTTTCAAAAACTAAGTTGATTAGATATTATTAACTATTTTATCGAATTATATTTGTATCTAAAAAATAAACAACAAATGTAATTTGAATTATAAAACAAAATACAAATATAAATGCATGAAAAAGTTATAAAAAGTTATAAATTTCCCATTAAAAGCTTTGTTTGAGAGGGCGAACTTTTCTGGGCGAATTTTGAAGTGGACAGTAGAGCTGGGACAATTCGACGTCAAGTTCCAACCTAGAGCCGCAGTAAAAGCCCAATCTTTGGCAGACTTCGTCGCAGAGTTTACTTCTGGAAGTCATTATATCTGCCCATTCGACCTAACTGACACAACCGAACTAGGGATGAAAGATGATGCCGGAATAGCGCAACCCCTAGCAGAAGGTACTCAGTCAGACTCCAAGGCAGACCAGACTAAAGACAGCAAGGAAGAAACAAACCAAGACTCACCAACAAATAAAGACTTGGTTCAATCAAATAGCGAGGAGCAGACAGCAAGCATGAACCTTGAAAAAAACACCAGCAACATTCTTGACCCCACGACATCATCCGACCCCTCCACTTGCTGGAAGTTGTTCGTTGGTGAGATGTGGAAGCTCTTTGTGGATGGAGCATCCAACCGGCATGGTGCAGGACTCGGCATAGTCCTCATCTCACCAGACAGCCTGATTGTGGAACAAGCAATCAACCTTGGCTTCCCAGCATCAAACAACGAAGCGGAGTATGAAGCGATTCTTGCAGGACTCAAATCAACATACTACATGAAGGCCATCGAATTAATGGTCTACAGCGACTCACAGCTGGCGGTAAACCAAATTTCTGGCGACTATGAAGCAAAGGATGATAGGATGGCCAAGTACCAAGAATTGGTCAGAACAGAAATCAAGAAATTTGAAGTAGTGAGGATAGAACAGATAGGCAGGGAAGAGAACGGCAGAGCAGACGAACTAGCAGGCTTTGCCTCAATGGCAGACATATCCATCCCTCATCCATTGCTCATCGACTACTTACCAAGACCAAGCATAGAAGACCCCGAAGCAGAAGAAGTATGTTGCGCAGAACTAGGCCCCTCTTGGATGGATCCCATCATCCTGTTCTTAAAAAACAACATCCTACCAGAAGAGAAAAAAGAAGCCAACAGAATAAAGGCGAAGTCGCAGCGATTTTGGCTATCTCCATCTTTGGCATTATACAAAAAGTCGTTCTCAGGACCCTATCTAAAGTGTGTCCACCCCAGCAAAGTGGAAGCATTCTT